GTCCTCTCTCCGCATGGTTTCTCACTTGGTGAGATCATTTGCTGTGGAAATCAACATGATAAATGAGGACGATGGACAGTTCCTGCCCCATTTCTGGATAGATTGGAAACCCCATTGGCAGAATTTTTTTAAGGTGAAATGTGATGCTTCTCAAAAGGATTCTTTAGGGAATGATGTGGGCTTCATTACAGGGGACGAGCAAACGGGGCGAGGGAGCAGCCATGGCAAAGGTTTGCAAAGATGGTTTCTGTTGACAATGCATAACCAATAACAACGGTTCCAAGTATAAAGCTTGCAAAATATATTGGTATGAAGAAAATCGATCTCGAACTTCTGAGAATCATCCAAGCTATTAACTCTCAAGAATCACATTTTTCAGAGTTCAGAAACATTATCCAAAGTGCCAAGAAGCCTGAAAGGTTCTTGTCTGTTACGAGAACGCATGTGAGGAGAGAAGGTAATCAAGCTGCTCACAAGCTTGCTTTTTAGCTAGAAAATCCGAAAGGCTGTTGACCTGGATGGAGGAAGCTCCTACTGAAGTCCAGTAGCTGATAAAGTTCTTCAATGACATAATTCATCACTACGAAATAGTACAAGGTTATAGTTGGGGGAAAAAAAAACTAATAGTCAAGGAGGGTCAAGGGATGAAAGGCAATAATACTTCTAGGACTATTATTTAAATTTATTATAAGGAAAAATAATAAAACCATTATTTCCATTACTGGCATTAAATCAGGTTTAATTTCTATAATTGAGGTAATTATTATAACCTTTTTATCTTAAAGGATCAAACTGATTCAATGTCACAGTTCAGGGGTATTGAATAATTTACCGAAGGAAATGTCCTCCTGTCACGCTTTTTCAGTCTCACCAATACATAAATTACATGTTAATTTGCCTTTTGATTATTGAAGGTACTAGAGATTCTACACACTAATACCAGCATGAGCAGAGTGGGAGCAATAGCAAGGACCAGCTAGGACCACCATCACCCTGTGAATGAGAGCCATGTCACTCCAATTGTATAACCAGATCTTTACATATGTGTCTATAAAGTAGTGTGCAGGTTTGGTATATATGTAGGTCTTGAATATTTTTTTGCTGTAACAAACTTTGATTCTCTTAACCTACAATAGTGTGTGTATATATGTAATTCTTTCCTACCGATTAGCTATGAAGAGTATTTTCCAAAAGCATATATGGATTTATGTTATTGGCTTCACCCATATAGCAGCTTTGTTCTTTCTTTGTACTCTTCTCTGTCTCGTGCAGCAATTACTCTTCCAAATTGCAAAATCTTTCATGCTATCAGATTCTTGCTGGAGACTACATCAAATTATTTGCCCTTCTTCTTGCTGATAAGACTTGTTCAAATGTTGACCAACGATTCAGTCTCCCCTATGACCTCTATTTCTCAAACCTCTGTTCCTATTGTCAACCAGACAACTCGGGTTCTTACAACTCAAATCCTTCCAATCAAACTTGATGACAGTAATTTTCCAGTATGAAAAAATCTTTTTCTGAATGTCATTTATGCCAATGGCTCGGAGAGTTTCATTGAGGAAGAAAACATTCCTCCACAAGAATACTTAGAAAACGAAGGAAAGATCAAGAATCCTGAATTCCAAAGCTAGCGCTAAACCAATTGATTGGTTATGAACTGGTTATCTTCCTTCCTTACCTTAGAGCCTCTAGGGTACATAATCGGTCCCTCAAGAGCCTCAAAAATCTAGACCGTGTTGAAAGATCGCTATAAGTAATCCTCTACTGCCAAAATCATGTGCCTTAGAAAGCAGCTTCAACAAGTCACAAAGGGAGGCAGTTCTATGGCACAGTACCTAAGTCGCCTCAAGGATATTGCCGACAAGCTCATTGCCATAGGAGAACCACTAAGCTATTGAGACTACCTTGCATATCTCCTTGAGGGATTGCCTGCTAAATAAAATCCATTTGTATCCTCTATCTATAATCGACCAGACAAACCTTCAATTGCTGAGATACAAAGCCCTTTTCTCACCTATGATCAGAGACTGCAACAATAACAAGCTGCTGAGATATTACCGCTTCCTCAAGCTCAAATGTCTCAAATGACAATCAATCCAAAATATTCCCAAACTACGGCTAATGTTAGAGGATTCCCCAGCAACAGCTCATCCCCTTGACCTCTGATGTGGAACTAGATGCCAAACCCTAAACCTATTGGAGTTGGTGTGCTGGGCAGAGCTCTTTTGTCAAACCCAAAGGGCTATCATCCAATGGGCTAGAGAAACAAGCCCAAATGCCAAATTTGTGGCAACTGGGCCATACAGCACTTCATTGTTAGACATTTAGTATTTGACAAAATGAACTTTCCTTTTAGAAACATGGGTCAAAGTTGTACAATTGATTTTTGCTCTGAAAAGAACATTGAATATAGTTCAGGAATCCTTTCTCAAAGTTTATCACCTATTCTATCACCTTGTCCAACTCAATTGAACCCAGAAACATAACATTCCTTCTCCTCTCAAGGTCATCAAAGTCTCAATCCTAGTATCTCTAGCACTTCTAGTTCTTCCAACTCTCTCATGGAACAAGCCTTATGTGAATGTATAGAATAGATTCCACCTACCATTACACCTATAGATCAAACTGAAACTACTACACACCTAGAAACCAGAACTCTAAACACTCATCCCATGGTCACCAAATCAAAAGCTGGTATTTTCAAACCAAAAATGTTCCACTCCACTCTAAGGAGTTCCCTTCTAGCCATAGAAATCCCTTCAAAACCTTTGACTGTGCAAGAAGCGAAGGAAAATCAGACCTTGTTGGTAGCAATGAAACAAGAACTTGCAGCACTAAAGAAAAACAAAACCTAAGAGCTAGTTCCTAAACCAAAAGCTCAAAGATAAGAGGTTGCAAGTGGATTTATAAGGTTAAACTGAATTCCAATGTGTCCTTGGAAAGGTGTAAAGCAAGATTAATTGCTAAAAAGTATGATCAAACTCCAAGTATAGATTACTCTAAAACCTTTAGCCTAGTGGTAAAGTCCACTACTGTAAGAATTGTTTTATCCCTAACTATATCCTTAAATTGGCCTATTAAATAATTTAATGTACACAATGCTCTTCTAAATGGTGACTTAAGTAAGATAGTTTACATGTATCAGTCACCTGGATTTGAGGATGATAGATTCCCAACTCATGTATGCCAATTGAATAAAGCTCTCCATGATATCAAACAGAGTCCTGGAGACTAGAATAACAAATTAAGTAGCTACTTACTAATTGGGGTTCATTAACTCCAAACCTGACCCATCGATGTTTTTAGTTCCCAACAAGGACAGCTCTTAGTTATCTTAGTGTATGTAGGTGACATACTCATTACCAGGACTAATAAATTAGCCATTGAGAAGGTGATGAAAGAATAAGATGGTGGGTTTTCTCTAAAGTATCTTGAAGATATTGGTTATTTCCTAGGAATTCAGATTACAAGAGCTGAGAATATGATTCACTGCAACCAGGAGAAATACATAAAAGATATAATTAAAAGAGCTAGTCTTATTGAAAGCAAGGCAACTACTACACTATGGCAACCAACACCCAATTATCTAGGGGTGAGAAACTATCTGATCCTTCTACTTACAAAAGCCTAGGAGGAGCACTTCAGTATTGCACCCTTACAAGACTAGACATTAGTTTTGTTGTTAACAAAGTCTGCCAATTTCTCCATGCTCCTACTACAATACACTTCTAGGCTATTAAGAGGATTATTAGATACCTCAAGGGCACCCTATCTAATGGATTAACCTTCATGGCAGACCAATCTTTCACCTTAATAGGTTATGCAGATACAGATTGGGCAAGCTACCCAGATAATAGGAAAAGTACAAGTGGTTTTGTATATTTCTAGGCCTAATTTCTGGTTAGCCAAGAAGCAATATGTGGTAACCAGATTCAGCACTAAGGTGGAATTTCGCTTTGTGGCACATACTTCACGTGAAATTAGTTGGATTGAATCCATCTTGAGGGAACTACAAGGTCCTTATCTAACACCTCCTACTATATTTTGTGATAAACTGAGTACTGTTTACCTCTCAACAAATCCAAGTCTTCGTGCGATGACAAAATATGTGGAATAGACTTCTAATTTGTTAGAGATAAGGTCACTAAAAGCCTCTTACATGTTCAAAATGTATCTTCACCAAACCAGGTTGCTAATGCTCTAACTAAGGCATGCTCCACATAACAATTCCTTAATACAAGAACCCAACTTATAGTTCTTCCCAGACCAGTAAGTTTGAGGGGGATATTAGTTATTAGAGGTTATACACACTAGTATCAACATCTGCAGAGTGGGAGCAACAGCAGGACCAGCGAGGACCACCATCACCCTATGAATGAGAGCCACATCATTCTAGTTGTGTAACCAGGTCTTTACATATGTGTTTGTAGAGTAGTGCATAGGTTTGGTATATACACAGGTCTTGTATATTCTTTTGGCTGTAACAAACTTTGATTCTCTTAGCTTACAACAGTGTGTGTGTGTGTGTGTGTAATTTTTTCCTACTGATTAGATGTGAAGAGTATTTTACAAAAGCATATATAGATTTATGCCATTGGCTTCACCCATATAACAGCTCTGTTCTTTCTCTGTATTCTCCTCTGTCTCGTGCAGCAATTAGTCTTCTAAATTGCAAAATCTTTCATCGATCTTAGGTTTTTCTTTTATGTTCTAGAAATATGAATAGGGTGTCACGAATCATGATTCAGTGTACAGTAAGTGATCAAAGTAGAAAAGCTAAAGTATTACTACTTGGGATGAAAGACCCAAAGATACTCTGTACTAGGCAAATTTAGCGTTACTTGTTTGGCAAGGATCAGCATGTCTCCTTTTTTCAAGTTTGCTTGTCAATTTGAGATGTGGATAATTTTTTCGGCAAGATCAATCAAAAGGCCTTAAAATTCTAGAGATTTACATTCAAATGTTCACAAACACCGTCTGGAAATTGTAGAACCTAGCTAAAATAGACCCATCTCAGCATCAAGTAAATAAATGATTCCTATAATCACCTCCTATATTTTAAATACATTAAATTTCATAACACTATCAAGAACAATGTTTTACGGGTGGGACTCGGTGGTTTACTTGAAGCCCGCCTGCCGTGTATGCACCATCCACGCAGATGACTTGCCCTGTAATGTATGACGCTGCAGGAAGGCAAAGAAATGCTGCCAGTGGTGAAATCTCATTAGGCTCTGCTATGGAACAGAGAGGAACCCAATCTGCCATTTGCTTTAATGCATTGATGATGGAAGGTTCAATGTCCATCTGGATACAACAATGAATAATTTGAAATAGTGCCAAATCAACCCATCAGTAATTGAAGCTTCAAAAATTCACACATTTTGTAAAATTGATGTATTTTGGGTGAAACCCAGAAAAACAGCGGGAAACTTATAATGGCATTGACATAGAAGATTAAAAAAAAAGAATGGTATTGCATAGATTTCTATAATTTTTGTTGGTATTTAAGGCATTTTGGTGAGATAAATAGCTCAGAGTTGGATAGAAACAGTACAGGTTTTGGTGATGGTGGTCTTCACGGAACCTGGGGCAACAGTGTTTACTCGGATATGGTCCTTCGCCCATTCACAAGCCAAGTTCCTTGTCCGTTGATTGATGGCACCTGACGTTATAGAACTTCATCTCATCTCTGATTCTATGTGATTAGTTTTGTTGAAGAATGCGGAGACTTTTGAGTGGTGCTTGTAAAAATCTTGAAGTGATTAGGTTAACAAGTTGTAAGATTCTTGATTCGAGTGCGGGAACAAACTACTGTAGTATTTGGACTTGGAATGCTTTAATTTTGAGAATTAGCAAATGTACTTGACAAAATAGTGAACTACATTCTTGCAAGGCTTATGTTCTCACTTTTAGTTGCAGCATAGACTGAAGAAGCAGGGAGAGCTGTGAACCAGCAATGGGAAGAGATGAAGACATGCTTCCTGCTTCTGATGCTTTGAGGAGGGGATCTGCAAGTTGGAACAAGTAGTAGGGGGGCTCAGGTTTGTCCTCACTATACTTGAGTAGTCTTCGGTTGGGGTTTGTGAGCACATTTGAGTAGAGTTGATGCAGCATTGTTCACCCAAGGCATTCTAGTATCAGCAGATATGAACTAAAAGAGTTCCATGGAGAAGCTAAGAAAACAGGGAACAATTTTTTTATGAGTTACAAGTGAGTTATTGAAGGGTAAAGCAAGGATGTTGAGCTTGCCATGGAAGATAGAAGAGACACCCTTCATCAACTCCTCCCTTTGAGCCCTTGATAATAAGTCGCATACTGAACCACTAACTTTGTACGGCTTGCTCACCGTTATTGCATTGTTCTACTGCTAGCTCCTTTTCATTCCTAGAGCACGTATATACCGCAGCACCAAACCCTGCCAATTCCTCTACTATGGCATATCTAAAACCCATGCACAGACAGAAAGAAAACAAGGCAACGAAAAAAAAAAAAAAAGGAACATAACAGGAAGTGGGACCTTACTACCAATGTTAAAGCCAAAATTTTCAACATTTAAGGGAATATATATGACTAACCCAATGCCTCTGATTCCACCAGTGACTTGAGCAGTTATTCCATTAGAGAGACCATCTCGTCTTTGCAGTTCGTCCTTTCAGTCACCATGTTCTGATGTTTCTTGCTGGTGCCACTCCTTTTCCCTATAAAAGCTACAGCATAGCTATATAAATAAAGCAAGGACGGACAGTTCATTTTTCCTGTAGGCTGATTGCTGGAAATTTTATTAGAATAACGAAAAAAGAACTCGTTTTATTTGCATCATTTTCCTCAAGTTAAATTAATAAGCTAGTTTTGATGAAGACAAATATATGAGCTAGTTTTACTTAAATTTTGGAGTTGTTTGATCTAGGATTGGCTCCTTTCATCCTCCAACCACTACTATATATTTAAGCATTGGAGTTCCTTATACGAGCAGATTTTAACATTACATACCCAAGCTTAACAATTCAAAATACTGATATTAAAAAGGAAAACTTTGCACTGTATTTCTTTTGTTCATATATATCAATCAGGATGTTGTCCTAAACAACACAGGCTTCGTTAATGAAGTTCAGAAGCTGTTGATAATGGGATTGGAAGAAGAAACAAAAGTCATGTAACCATAAATGATGGTAAAAGGCCAGCTGATCTTGTGCTTTCGGCATCTATATATATGAGAAAGAATAAACAAAAAAATATTTTAAAAAAAAGGACAAAAAGAAGAGGTTTCCAATCTCATCTCAGCACAGGGAGTTTCTTTTTCTGTCAATTGTATTTTAATATTCAAGCAATTAAAAATCATTTATTTTTCCTCGAACTTGGCGTATATCTGATGCATTTCGTGGCTGTTTCTGTTAAAAAAGTTGATCTGAGATGAAATTAGAAATAAGAAATAAAAAGAATAGAAATTGTTGTGCTCCATTCCTGTTTCATGATTTATTGTACCTATGATGCTTTATTGTACTGAGCCACACGGCATAGCCATACAACCTGATCAAACATCAAGGACAGTGTTCGTTCTTATCTCATTGGTTGGCCAATGATATAAAATGAGATTTTTGGCTATTCTCAAATGGGGCTGAAGTCAATCCTGTGCATTAAGTTCTTTCTGGATGACTGTACACAGAGAGAGTCTCTCGGTAGTAGATAGGTAGAACTTGCTTGCCAAGTTGCTAGCGAACTGCAAGACAGGACTTGAGAAATAGAGATCAGGGTTGGAATGTTTAACAAAATGAGCAATCGACTGAAGATGACATCACGAGGAGGTTTAAGAATTTCGTCCTTGCTACTGCGGAAGAAGAACAGTAAAGCCAGAGGGAATGAGGGCGATATATATATTAGCAAAGAGAATGTCAAAAGACTCTTATGGCGATAACTGTTACAATCAATATGAATATGCAAAATTACTCAGGGATTGCAATAAATCAGAGAATAATTAGACTAAAGTAATATGAGAAAGCAAAAAAACAGAAAACCATAGACAAAGAGATAAGAAATTCCGTGCATCGAAATGTTGCCCCATATCTTATTGACCTCCCTTTAGTAAAGGTAATAAAATGCACGAGGAAAGGAAAAATAAAACCCAACTAATTCTGTTATTTTGTTACACTAAACTCACATGCTACACCCTTCCAACTTAAGACCACTCCAGCTCAGTTCAAAGCTATAATGTTTGCAACTCTGTAAGTTACCCTAGCCTCCCCATGAAAAACCCTTGTCCCCAGGGGTGAAAAAGGGGAAATTTTTGGAGGAGACCATAATAAAATTCCAAGTAGATTGATCCGGAAGTGACCCTTTCATTTAACAAAACCTTGGTGTGATCTTATTTAGGAACGCTAAACTATGTGCAAAGACGGATCAATAATGAATATCCAAATTTAATTAACAATCAATAATATGGAAAAATGATTTACAAACCACTATAAAAACTAAAAGAACTTTACAACTTACAATTAAAAAATTCTATTTGACCCTAAACTAGTAATCAAAACCATCCTGACTTCTCTTGCATCAATTTTATCCTAAATTGTTAAAATATCTCTAACTCTTTGTCCAAAAATGGCTAGAACCTATTGTTTAATAGTTAATTCTTGGTTAAAGTAGAAATCTTCAATTTAGGATGATCATTGATTGCTTTCAAGAACCGTTTGTTAAGTTTTTAACGAGACTTTGAACAATTTGGATGATTTGGATTATTTGAATGATTTAGAGGAGACCCCAAGCTTGCCTTTTATAATCCAAGGAATCTTAGGAAATGTAAGAGGACTTAGAGGACTTTAAAAATCCTAAAAATCGCAAAAAATTAACCATGGTGCAGTAACAAGCGAGCTCTAACATGCTACGGTGGGCTCTAGCTTGCTATGGCCAGCTCTAGTACACTACAACCCCACTACAGTACAAAACCCTCCCACACCCAAAACTTTTCAATGTATATTTCCAACCCTAAACCTCTTAAAGATCCTCCAGATCCTGGCGGCATCTATGCAACCTCTCATTACCATTTTCCAATCCAAAATTGCTTTAGGCTCTTTGTGCTATCGCGAACAAGATTGTGGAGAGGAAATGGAGCTGAAACAAACTTGGCTAGAGTAATACAAAGCTTAAGTTGAGAAAATGGAAGGCATCATGAATTGCAGACAATAAGGAAGATCTAACTGATAGGCAACTGAACCAATTAAAAAAAGTTTATGGTTGAATCTAGAGGATAGAGAGTGTAGCTTCAAAAAATGCTATCAAGATACAATTGAGCCACATCTTGTGTAGTTTATAGCTAGTGAGTGAAATGAGCTACCTTGCACCACCACAATAACTTGCCTCCTATGGAATGGTTGTAAGCCATCCACCAAATCCATCATTATGTTCCTCCCAAACTATCACCACCCAACTAGGGATTAGGACTGCACTAGGAATAAACTAACCCATTCCTAGTGAACCCAATTAGGAGTGATAAGTTATTTAACTAAGTGAGGAATTTTCTACAAATTTCAGCAGCTTCTTCCCTAAAATATGGACATTTCCTAAATTTTACAACCTGTTAAAATATTGTATAATTTCTAACAAATAATTCATGCAGTGATATGTTATTATAATTAATATACTATTCTCAACAAATATTCAAACTTTACCATTCGACATTCATCAAATATCCAAAATTTCTTATTCAACATTAAAATTAGGAAATCCTATCTAGAAACAAATGGAACAGTTCTACAACTTCAATTACTAATACATTACATATCCCACAAGCTATAATTTAAAAAAAAAAAAAAAAAAAAAATCTCTTCCCATACTGAAAGCACAATGTGGAAACTCACCACAGCGTATAAAATCACAAGGAACTAATGGCCTTGTACTAGAATCAAGTTAGAATTTGGAAAAAAAAAAGTTTTAAAAAAAGGGGTGAGAAAATCTCAATAAGTAATAATATATATAACTGTGTTTATAAGGGAACAACAATTATCCAAACCATTTCAAAAGCCGTATCATCATCTTTAGCAATTTTAGTTCCAACCATAAATATCATCAATGTAACGTGAAAAATCATCAATAGAACCAATATAAGTAGACATGGTATAGGGATCTAATCCAGGACCAGATATATAGTCCAACATCATAATGTGAGCTTGACCTTGAAGGCCATCAACAACTTAGCTTTTATCCCAATCTAAAGTCACAAAACAACTCACCATAAATACTTTATTACATACAGTTTTTTTGTAAGTTTATTCATTTATTTATTTACACAGATATAAGTAAATCTTACTAACTTATTTCATAATAGCTTATGTGTAAGAACCTTAAATAACTTTTCCTATCTACAAAAGTTTGTTCTGCCCCTTTGACTTATATTCCTAAGAATAGATTTTTGATTGCCACATATTTGATTCTATCATATTAGCAATTTAGGCCAAATAGTTTCAAGATTCAGGTGCATGAGTGTTCAAGTCCGTAACTCATCATTAACAACGAGATTGCTGTTTCTATTATCATTACAATTTTATTTTTTTAACAATAGATATCAAAACAAGCTAGGAATTCATACATGTTTACAACCTCAATTGGTAATCTATTTAGGTTAATGTTATCTATGCATCTACTAATAGAAAGTTTAACAATCTTTCAACTTATAGTTCAATAATTTCACCTTATATATGATATATAGTCATATTAACAATAAAAATGGAATAAAAACTATTTGAATTAAGCTTTGTAATCATCTTTAGTTTATTTTTCTCTATTTGTCTTGCAAACCTTCAATTTTAACCATTCAAAACTTGCCCATCTTTAATTTGTAATCCTATATAAACACATAATCCTTATATTCTACCTTTTATTTTATAACAACAAAATCTGAAAAAAAAAAAATGAAGGTTCTTACTCATCCACTTATTCCCCTAATGAGACTTGGTCACATATAACTCGTTGATTCTTTTTCTAAATTCCAATGATCAAAGGTTGTTTTAGCAACTAAGGGCCTCACACATCCAATAAAATTACTTGCAACCTGCTTAGCATAGTATTCAATTCATAAACTTAAGTTCAAAGGAGCCAACTAGGCAACCTTTATACTCAACTCACTCAAATTCATGTACTCAATTTCTGTAAGGACTCATACAAGGCTTACCATATATGGAAGCTTTATTTTTAAGTCCCAGGTGCTCATATTCACTGATTATTTCATTCCCAAATCTTAACAAAACAATTGTAGTTAAAGAATATATTTATGATTAAATTAATACATCTCTACAAGTGTCATTCTGCACTTTCAATTCATCTAGAGTTACTTGTGCCTCTAAGCTTAGTGTCAACTAGAACTACACAAATCCAATCTCGAAAACTAAAGTGGTGCATTGACACAAGTGTTAGTGGCTATTGCATGTCTCAATTTATTTCAACACCCAACTAGATTTTCACCTAAGGAAGTGCAACAAGTTTAAAATGGGAGCATTCATTTCGCCAGGCAATTTTTCTCATTTTGGTCTAATTTCCACTTAGATTTTAAATCCTCACTTAATTCACCAACAAAATTAACTCACATCCAAGGAGAATTCTAAATTCAAACCCATACATATGTTTTGAACACTTACCCTTTATAACACTTACCATTCTTCCCAAGGATTTATATCAATATAATTCCTAGTCACATTATCTTTAATTGTCACACCCCACCCCAGTCTAACTAGTGAGGTGTAACAGTCGAATAGCAACCGACA